TTTTTTTTTTTTTTTTTTTTTTTTTTTGAGCAGCATCTAGATCTCCTACCATCATGGTTTTTCAAATCACAGAGATTTAAATTTGTGTTTTATATATCAGTATCCCCAAATTGTTTTTTCTGACTAAAATAGCAGTTTCAATGTAACTAATGGAAATAAATTATACTTCAACTAACTTCAATTAGAAGTGAAAAGCACTTGATTGTGCAACATAAAAGATGCCAAATAATACCCATCATACTAATTCAGATTTACCTCTGACAGTGACTGTGTTTTCTTAAAATAGACTTCGAAAACTCCCCAAAACAGACATCAAGTAATGTTTATGACCCTCCTCAAAAACCTACTGAGCTTGTTATATTACATAAGGGATCCCAAAGTAGACATGAAATCTGCAATATTACTTACCTTGTGGCTTGCATAATTCTTGTCATCAAGGTCCAAAGCCAGTTTGGCATGCTCTAGAGCTTCATACGTTAATTTTTTCTTGGTATCGTGATCAACACAATTTTCAGCCAACACTCTACACGCTCTTGCTAATCTCCACTCAATCTCAGCATTTTGCAAATCTTTGTGCTTTAATAGTAAGTCATACATGTCTTGTGTTTTATTGTCATCAAATAACTCATCTGCTGTCTTGATATCAAGTTCTAACTCACTCATTTTATTTGATTGTGGTGTCCCTGTGTCCTGAGGTTTTGATGCTCCCCACCAGGTAATGGCAAGTAAAGGAGAAAAAAGTTGGCCACTGAATTTAGATTTCTTTATTAGCTGGTTGCTAACTATGTAACCCTACAACAGATAGAGACAAGCATGTAAATAAATGCACTTACAAGCAGCTATCCTACAGGTGACCCTAAGAGCTTTGTGGGATCCTTTGTAAGTGTAAGCATATTCTGTTTTTTATACTTTGTGTGTTTCAAAGCTTGAATAAGAAAATATGGATTACTAATGCACTTTCATATTGAAAATAAAACAAATATAGTGGATAGCCAGCATGCTTTATTTCATACAGACAGCTGCCTTCTTGAAAGTAAAACCATATAGGGTTTTCACTGAGAAATATAGTAGTAGGACAGCAGCATTTAATTTAATAATAATAAGTTCTTATATAGTGCATTAAAATTGAACTCTATGCGCCTACAGCAACAGCTGAAAGGTCATTACATTAAATTTCAGCCATTCACTTCTTCAATCTCTGATAACAGCCCTTCTATCCACTCTATAAATAATAATTGACAGCCTCATGGAAATTATCCTGCAGGATAGCTGGATTAAAAAAATATACGGAATCACACTTACAGCCATCAGCCAATTACTAGGGAAAGTTTGGAATATTGCATCATGATTAAACATTTCTTTAAGCCTCTATTTAGCCACATAATGATATCAGCAAACTCTACAATCCTTTAAAGTGCACCTACACCCAAAAAATTTTTTTCGCTTAACGAAGTAAGCTTATTTTTTTGAGTATGTCTGCACAAAAATTTTTCTATTTGCTCAAATCTTCAATTTTCTATGCCCAGTCAAAATACGGAAAATCGGCCGCCATCTTGCCCCACGACCGAGTTTAAAGAGGAATGGCTCTAGTGGGTAATGTGTGACGTCAAATCGAGAACACGAAAGTCTGCTTTTCACACATTTTCACTTGTTTGGGAAGGTTGTAGTCGATATTGTCCGAAATATGCCGACTAGGTGTGTTGTATGAAGATTGTATGGAGCGCGATACCCTCTTGCAAATTTCGCACGTTGCTACATCCTTCTACAACACACTTAGTCGGCATATTTTCGGACAATTATCGACTACAACCTTCCCAAACAAGTGAAAATGTGTGAAAAGCAGACTTTCGTGTTCTCGATTTGACGTCACATTACCCACTAGAGCCATTCCTCTTTAAACTCGGTCGTGGGGCAAGATGGCGGCCGATTTTCCGTATTTTGACTGGGCATAGAAAATTAAAGATTTGAGCAAATTAAAAAATTTTTGCACAGAAATACTCCAAAAAATAAGCTTATTTCGTTAAGCGAAAAAAAAATTTTGGGTTTAGGTGCACTTTAATAAAGAATACTATATTCAATTTTTTTGAGGAAAAACATTGCAACTACATTTTTGTTTATAAGAAACTTGCAGAAACTATTTATAAAGGGGAAGAGGGAGATCATATGATCATGTGATTATATGAATCCCCAGGGTACCCCTTGTCATCCCCCTCAACCTCCCCCTTCCCCATTAAAAACTGTATACAAAATGGTAAAATTACTTTCAGTGATGTCTCCAGACCATTTGTGTTAAAATGCAGACTGCAGACTGCACACCATGCAAACCATGCAGATTTTTTCATTTGATTTTTTTCCTAACTCTGATTTGCATATGATTAAGGTGTGTTTACCTTTCTCTAAAGGAAATCCAAGCCACCCATCATCAATCAACACAGAGTTGTTTGTTGTTAAAAATGCGATTTGTGCAATTCAAATTATGTTGGATCTGCAACACGCCATCTATTTCAACGCATTGCTGATCATCGGTATTCTGCCATTGGTCGTCATCCGAAAGATGCTCATGGGAACGTTAACTTACTCAATGAGAGCCAATTTTGGGTGCTTAAAAAATGCAGCACAAAATGGGATTGCCTGGTCAACAATAAGACCTAATTTAAACACCCAGAACGACTCCATTAAGGCTAAGCTCTTTGTTTGACTCTCAATGACTCTTAATTTATTCATTTTCTCATCTATATATACATCTTAGTTTTGTTATTTCATTCCCACTTGATAATGATGTTCTGGAAACATCGAAACATTGTGTGATGTTTCCCAATATTTTATTGCAGATTTTTTTAGTAAAATGTTTTAACAATATCTTTACTTATACCAATACTATTCTATTAAAAATATTCCTTGTCTCTACGAGTTGCAGAGGAAACAGTCAGATCCACATTCCTTGCTAAATAAGTTATCGAGATCCATTTGAAATGCTTTGAAATGTGGAGGGGGGGGAGGGAAGGCTTATCTTTCAGCATGCACATACCCCTACTCAAATATGACCAAATGCCCTTTGCGTTGTTTGTTAACACAAGCAAACCTCTTTGTAATCTTTACAGTTTCGCGTGTGTCCGTAATCGATTTGAGACTTACTTTCATTTTCCAGCACAGTCTAAAATCTTTGAGTTTAGCATTCGATTGAGCTCCCAGAGACAGAATCAAATCATGTCTAATTTCCTTAAGACATTCTGTCTAATGCAATGGAGAATTGTTGTAGTTGATAAGCCTGGAGCTAGCACTGTTCAAAAAAAGTTTTATAACATATCATTCCGCCAAGCTTGATGCGGATAGAAGGATTTGTGAATAGATAAGAGATTGTATATTTTGCCAATTTAAATGCTACGTTGGCCATATTTTCGGCACCAAAACGTGGGGGTTGTGCCCTCCCAAATTTTTGTCTTTTGGGGGGATACAGACTCCCCTGCACCGCCGCCTTAGATTATCTTGAATACATCTAAGCTAATGAAAAAATCTCCCTTGACTGTTTGAATTAATCTCATGTCGACCTTTTCCGTTTTAAAATACAATTACAGAAAATACCTTCCTTTGAATGTAGTTTCCGATATTTTCTGGCCTTCTTAGTCGCTGAAGGACATTTAAAACCAAACCTTTCTCAGCAAAAAGCGCTCTAAATCTCCATGGAATACGACGTTCACGTAAAAATGCCGCCATTTTAAAAACCCAGGGAACCTGGGGTAGAGTGAAAGTTTCAAAGCTCAGTGCAGTGGGGTTCGAAGGGTCCTCAAAGGGAAACTTTTCGAAGGAGTCACCTTGGTATTTTTTTTTAAACAGTTTCACACTACGATTGAACATCTTCACTAGATTGAATAAATTATTTTGAATGCTTTCTATGGAAGGCAATACAATAGGTCTTAACATTTATTTCAGGGAATTTGTAGCCAAAGATGGTTCACTAGACTTCATAAATTTGAGATCTTTTCGGAGTACGGGAATTGAAGTATTTACCGTAGAGGTAGCCGCACAGGCGACTCAACGCTGGCGGGTTAAGCATCTCAATTATCTCTTCTCGGCTTACCTTGACCAATTTTCCGGCTCAAGATCTCGGAGTACTCAAGCGGATAAAGCAACCCAGGTTTTGATTGCACGTCACTTGTAATGAGAGTCGCATGATCCGAACGCCGGCTGTCACTCATTAAAGAGACAACCCTGAATAATTAAAAAGTAAACGTCGGCAAATTTGCATAAATAGACATTACACCGATTCGCTAGGAAAAATCGGTGTTTGTTCTCACTAGAAGTGAACAAAAGAGCCAGGAAATTTTAAAAAGCGTAAAAAATCTAGAATTATAGTACATCTGTTAATATACCCCTATATACCAGCTCAAAGTTATCGAACTGACTGCATGGGCGCGTCTCACAGCCGAAATGAAAATGGCGAACATGTTGGAAATGAAAAAATGAGGAGAGCTACCCTCTCTATTCCTCAAATCCACCAGGTGTTATCGTTGCCGCTGTTTCAATAGATTCACTGGCGGTAAACTTAGCTACAGACTTGAAAAGAAATTAAGTGATGAAATCACTTCTTATCAAAAAACGTTTCATTCGTTCTTTTAAGCCTAGCGTTGGAAGGGAAACCTTGTACTCTCTGGGAGCTGCAAAAAAAGTGCGTCCAATGTTTTCAATCATTTTAAAGATAATTGACGGAGCTTGTATTTTTGGCGTGTTTTATTGGTTTCTTACACCATTATGAGGCTGGTTTAGAGATTTTTTTATTTCAAGTTGTTCTTTCCCTTGCCACTGCACCTCAATTAATTCATAATTAATCTTGAGTCTCGAAACTACTAATATACGAACATGGCACAATGAACAAACTTCTGATAACTGTTTCCACTGGCCTCTTGCTTCTTTTGGGTGGTTTCGGTCATCTCACTCAGGAACTAAACGGGTACTCGAAATATTTTCAAGGCTGTGTGTGTTACTGAGCACATAAGTGTACATCGACCTTTTTAACACAAGATACGGTTTGCTGAAACACCATAATCTCACCAAAACATGTTTTGATGCATGCACCCTGAAGTAAGAAACTTTTCTGGACATTTTTTTGCGTCACTCATAATTTGGGAAATTGGTTTGGTAACAGACGCGCGCAATTAAGGGAGCACTCATGCATTACCCTATTACGCAATGTCACACACGAGAGACGAAGGTTAAGAGAGAACAGCGTATAAGACTCCTAGATATAGAGTGGAACAGCTATTTGGTAAGGAATATGTTATGAACAGTCATGCTCGTGCACAAAAACAGCAAAAGTTTTGATGCATTATTGAATTTCAAATTTCACTTTGTGAACCCCTTCTAGCTTTGATGTGCTGGATTGCCATGAGTGAATGATACAAGAAACTTAAACTCAGCCAGAATGTCACATGGAAGAGTAGCCTTTTCGCACATAACTCTCTCGAGAGAGAGAGAGAGAGAGAGCCAGCCAGTCAGCTCAAACTTGCTTGATTTTTCAAGCACTCAAAATCACTCAACGGTTGTGGACTGAGGCGACTGGAAAAACCATGTGAAAACGAGGCTTGAATAGCTATTTGTAATAAGCTCCACAAGAGAGTGCTATGATTAGCTCGGAACACCGTTTACAAATCCAAAAAGGCCCTATACGACAGGAGCAATTTTGTATCCATCGCAAAAAAAAATTAAGTTAAACGTAAAACTTCAGCTGTGCTCCAGTAGTCAGGCTAGAAATGACGGATACTTGATGGAAAAATGACGTTAGTTGGTTTCATTTACTAAATTTATTATTTATCTACAGCACAGACAAAGAAATCCCTACGTAAGCAATGAGTAGGATAAACAGCGGTAAAGTTTCATGTTTGCATTAGGAAAAAAACGGATATTTCTATGTAACTGCTGTTTGGAGCCGACTGTCCAATAATTATTCAATTTTAGACCCTTCTTTTTCACAGCTGTCTACAAGACAAGACAAGACAACTTTATTTGGCCAGGATGGCCCAGTCAGCTGCGAGGCTGGTATCCTTAGGGGCCCTGGTTTTTATAAAATTTACATATACACATTTCCAATAAAATTACAAAGTTGAATAGAATTTGCTAAGATTAAAAGAGGAGATAAAATCAGATAAAAAGTCCTTTAGAAGGCGTTTAAAAATTTCTAGAGAACTTCCCTCTTTGATTTTGCTTGGCAGTGAATTAAAGGCTAAACGTCCTGAATTTTTAAAAGTTCGCCCTCCAAGAACAAGATTTGTTTTATTTGGGTGAATATTTCTCTTCTGCCTAGTGTTAAATTGTGTACGTCACTGTTAACTTTAAAATAGTTTTTTAGGTATGTAGGAACGAGATTCCGTAAACATTTATATACTAAAATACATTTGTGTATTTTTCGCAGTGTTTCTAAATCTGGCCAATTTACAATATTTCGGGCTGTCCTTGTTGTACTTTTCTGACAGGTGACGATTTTCGCGGCTCGATTTTGAAATCCTTGCAGACTAGTGATGCTGCTCTCGGGTAGTTCACCCCAGGCTGTGTCTGCGCAGCTAAAAATTGGTCCAATAATGCATTTGTATACCGCTTGAGCTGCAGCATTACACACGGAACAAAAACTCTATAATTTTAGGAGTTTTTTCGCGCGATGGAAGATTCAACTTCTGTAAATGTCAAGTTTTCATGTTCTCTCTAAACAGAACCTTTGAACTGTTTTTACTTGTTTTCGTGTTGGCTTACTTTCATCAACAACAACCGCAGAGATGAGTATCTAAAGTTGAAAGCAGCTCGCACTCACTTCTAACTTGGTGGGGAAACCTAGCTGCCAAAGGCCGTTTAGTATTCCAATTTTCACTTTTGTTTTGTTTGATAATCGCACTCAGATCACGCGTAAGGCTTATTCCAGCATATTATGAAAACTATGTCGTTCCTGAAAGTTTAAAAGAAAAAAACATTTTTTTAACAAATTAACCAAAACTCTTAAAATCTTTGAAAAGTGAATAAGTGTTATCAAACAGAAAGGAAGCAAGCTTTGAACCATTTTATCGAACCAATTTATCGAATTCTGGACTTGCTGTGTGCTAAGAAGATGGAAGAAAATCTGCCTAAGCGCTCTGAACACATTCGACAGCTTCTACACCAGCTTAAACGACACAATTTGTATATTTGACAGCTAGGTAAGGTGAAAACTGGATCGTCAAAAATTCACAGGTAGCTGGTGAGACAAGTGTGCAAACTATGTTATTTTAACAATTTCTATGCTGCTGAACCACTCAATGGATTTTTATCGCTTTAAATGTAACTTGAAAGTTCGCATTTCAACACAATGCAGTCATGCAACAAATCACGTATAAACGCTAACTTTGTTAATGACAGGAAGTGATCCGTGTTGAAAAACTTTTCCCGTTAAGTTTGTGTTTGCTTCTCTTTCTCGAAGCAAATAACTATATCTTCAATACGAATACAAGGCAAAGGGTCCGTTGATACCTAATACAGCCATAGCTACATAGTCCTATGTCTGTATTATAAGCCCGAACAGGATTGTACGAGACGAAGAATTATTTTAAAACTCAACTGAGCATGAAAAGACTTGCTCTACGTCAAGAGCTGACTTCATTTCCTGCGCCTTAAGACTAACACAAGCACGTCCCTGGTAATTGCGACATCGTCGTTGAGAATTTTTCTGATCTTCACGTCTCTCGTTCTGATCATAGTAAATGTTTTATTTTTCAACGGAAGAGGAACTGAGCCCGTTGCCAAGAAAGTTGTTTATCAAAGCAACTCGCAACCATTTCCGCTAAAGCTCGATTTCACGCATGCGCTGGACCAGGAAATATAAGCTCAAATCTCATAGCAACCTTTGGCCACTCATAACCCTGGATTTGGCGTCTACGGATAAATATGATTAGATCATAGCAACATATTGACCAATGAAATGGAAGAAAGTTGTTTATAGCTCTTTGTTACTTTGATTAATTCAGATAAACGAAAATAAAAGCCGGCAACAATGCTCACTCATCACACTTACTCATGCCTGCTTGCCACGAACGACTGCCTCTATTTCCTATGTAAGGAAGGGGAAATTGGTCTACCGTGAACGCTGTTGAACGCCGTTAAGAGTTTCATTACCATCACAGTCTGCAACACACGATTATGATTTTGACTGTTTCGAAGTGCCCATCTTTTGCAAGTTGTATCTCATAGTTCGCCGCGAATTCTCGGACACATTGTTCTCTTTAATCAAATTCTACTGGGGTAAAACAACAGTTAATCAGTCGGACGGATTTAGAGCCTTCGAAAACTGATCTTAATCGGCCCTAAACATTGTGGCTTATTCGGTATTTTAAAAGTTTCGTTAACCATCTGCTATCTGGTGTTGAAAGTCTGATCTACGAACGCGCAAAGAAAGAACGCTCACTTGTGGAAATCGACATTAACTTCGTTCGATTTGTAGCCTGTGACAACCCCCCCTAGCTCACGGGAAATTCAACAGTCGAACACTTCAATTCTCTTAGCATTTGGACTTGATCGACCGATCGCAAAAGATCTAAAACGGGACAGCTGCCTGTAATAATACATAACTAACTCGGCACTGAGATATTATGAACAAAAATATGCCAGTTGCAGTGCAATCATGTGCGGAAAGATTTGCAGCGAACTGGAAGGCTCAAAATCCCACAGAGAAAGAAGAAGAACAAACTTCGCTTGATGATAGTTTAACAAATCTTCAATGGCTTCATAGTATTAACATTCAGGACATTGCACCAACGACCACCTCCATAGCTCCTTCGCCGAGCCCGTCGTCGAATTCGTGCGACTCTGGCGACCACAGTGATTCAAGCGATGGATACAAGGACATTCATTGTAAAGAGCCAAATATTGATTACAAAAACGATGCCAACCACAAACCTCCTTATTCTTACGCGACATTAATTTGTATGGCTATGAGAGAAACCAACAAGACCAAGATTACACTGAGTGCCATCTACAAGTGGATAAAGGAAAACTTTATGTATTACAGAGTTGCGGATCCCACTTGGCAGGTAAATAAGTGCAATATTTAACGTTTAGAAGCATTTGGTTTTGTCTGGAAATAAGAAAATGTACATACTATCAGTTGTGTTATCGAGAACCGGCCTAAGTGTTGATTAACCTCGTTAAGCAGATGAAGCGCCAAAAGATTTAAATAAATGGGCTTTTCTTGAAGTCCTCCCCAATCAATCGTTTGAATTAGTTGGTCAGGAAGATTTATATTTTACCACATCGGGAAATTTTTAGCTCTTCTTGAAGAAACGTGACGGGTATGGCATGTCAGACTTCTTTTGTTCAGAACTATGCGAGTTGAGTCATGAAGTGAATATTAAATATTTTGTTGTTTCACCTAGATGCCATGATTTTTTTGGCCACTTTACGAATTTCAGAGCGACGTTGTCGAAGAACGGAATTCACTCACTGAACCTTTTCCATAGATATTTACTTATCTTGTCAGCATAGATGAGGTTCTTTTCTTACCGTTCGGAGTTTTAGTTTGCGGCCATAAATAAATTGTTTTACTAACAGTTTCTTTTTAAGGAATAAAATTTGTCACTACGGTTAGTAGACTCTTTACTCGCTTTCTTTGACATCTGAATCTACCTTTTAATAACGTGAAATGTACTTTGTCGTGGGTGGATTTAACATTTTCCGCTTCGTTTGCTAGGAAAAGAGGTGTCATTAAGTGCCTACATACATTAACATATTGTTAAAGGACAAGACGGTAAATTGAAGGGAGAAAAATCAATTTTTTCTGTTCAAAACCTTGTTTCCAATTTCAAGCATTTATACTTTAGACTGGCTCAACAAAATTAAAGTTTTGGCACCAAAGAGGTTTGCATGCAAATTTCAAATGTTTCCGTGTATTTTTCATATAATGCACACCAGGGAGTTATTGAGTTTTTGAAAAGAATGTTTCGCATGTTGCTTGCAAAGAATGTAAGTTTATGTAAACGTTGCAAAAAATAATCTCGACTCGTTGGGTGGTCAGCATCAGCTTGCAAATCTTGCGGTTTTTGAAAAAATTTTGTTGCATGTGATCCACGAAATTAAAATTGATAGAAAACATATCCTTTTATTCTAAAAATACCATCCACTAGAATTAATAATACATGGTTAGGGACAGCCGTCTGTCGACACAACAAAATTATTTTTAAAACTTACAAATGTGATTGAAAAGAATAGTTTGATAAACTCTACTCAAAATATTTTCCAACCCTTCCACCAATTTTGTATGCCTGGCAACATTTAAAATGGACAATTCACGATTTGAAAATGAAATGCTCTTCAGTCTAGAGAATTCTAATTTATCATCAGGTGATGAGGTGATAATTGTTGAGGTTATTGATAAAAGTACTGAATGATTTGGCTCCATGCTTCAGCTGAGAACCATTAAATCATGGTAATATATCACAGCAATACTGTTGTGCATTTCTAAACTGAGAACAACAAAAATTTAAATGTTATAAAGGAGCTGCTCCTAAGAATAGGGGAAATAAACATATCCTGTTAATTATTGGACTAGGAAAATTTGTGTAAAATGGGTATATTAGCATGAAAAAGCAGTCTGGCAGAGTGTTACATTATGTTTCAACCCCGATGGCTTCAAAACATATTATTCAGATCTGTCCAAAGACCCAGGCATCATTTGTATTATAATCCATCTAATTCTTCTATTATTGGATCTCTACCTCACTTATGTGAAAAAAATGCATATTGAAATTGCCATGGCCAAGCTACATTGTTATAAGTAAGGGAATATTAAGAGTGTCCCAATATTTCATTTTTTTCTGGACTGGCTTTCACTTTTTTCAAGCTCTAGCCTTAGCAAAAGACTTTGTCGGTTTATTTTCCTTCAGGTTTTACCCCTTACCTTCCTAGAAAAACCTTTGCTTTATTTACTTAAGATTGACATGATAATCTAGAGCAGCAAGTTTTACTTGGAGACTGTCGGTGACAGTCCTTATAGTCCTTACAGTCCTTTTCTATCAATTTTTTCCTAACTTTTTCAGAATTCAATTCGTCACAATCTGTCACTAAACAAGTGCTTCGTAAAGGTAGCCAGGAACAAGAATGAACCGGGAAAAGGAGGCTTCTGGAAAATAGACCCTGCATATGCTGACATGTTTGTGGATGGTGTGTTCAAACGAAGAAGAGGTGTGAATACACAAAAACCTTCAAAGAAAAGTTCTTCAAAACAATGTAAGAAGACTACATCAAAGAGATCAGCAGATTCTCTTGCATATCCACTTGATGATGACAACAATGAATCTTGTGACAGAAAGAAACATAAACCTGTTAAAATAAAGATTGAAAGAGATGATGATGATGACTTTTTTAGTGAGGAAGAAGTTGCACCTTTTTCTGGTGGAATAAAGGAAGAATTTAGTTGGATGACAGTGTTAACAAGCGATGAAATTGATGAAAGTATACGAGAGATTGCAGATGCTCATGGAATTTCATTTGAGTCAAGTTCAATTCCAATAACAGGCCTGTGTGGATTAAACACACCTGTTTGCTTAAGCCCACCACCATCAACAGACAGCACAACTAACCATAGCTTCCAAGTGGATCCTGAACTGGACTTGACAATAAGGGGTGTGGGATTGTTACCACCCCGAGAAAACCTGGCCACACCATCACCAACCACCTTAACAGATGCTACACACTCTGTTTTTAACATGCCACCTTCCCCTCCCTTGATGTATGAAGAAGACCACCCTTGGGCAGAAACAAGCAATGACCTTCTTGACTGTTTTGAGTTAGATGACAACAACAATGACATTTGGTAAATGAACTTAATGTTTTTAGTTCAGGAAAAAAAATGTTGTTTGACATGAAATATTCTGTGGGTGACAGAGGAAACAATTGCATGAAAGTCTTAAATAGTGTCTTGAGTTTCTTTTAAATCTCAGGCTGAAAACTGGTAGAGAATATCAGTCTACATCAAGACCTATGAATGAAGGCTGATAGTTTCGAAAGAAACTGTTTGGGGCTGCGTCGGTGGGAGTAACGAAATAATTTGGATATATCAACAAAGTTGAAATGGTAAATTGGCCACCGTAACGATTACAAAAGCTGACGTTTCGAGCTTTAGCCCTTCGTCGGAGCGAA